ATCTTCTTTCTTTTCATCATATCATCTCGGAATCCAACTTACTTCACTTACCCAGAGCAAAGTCTGTCTATTTTAGATTACGCACGAATTAACGCTGTTACGAAGAGTCAAAAGAAGCGGCCGCAAACTGAGAGGGTTAACTCGGTTTCAATCGTGTCAAAAAGCAGCGAAACGGCTAAAAAAATCCTGGTAGTGTGGTATTTCAAACAACAACCTCTCTGTGTGATTTCAGAAATACTTGCTAACTTTAGGACCTGCTTCATGTTTGGTTAGAAAAGAGGTCATGTGAGGGGCGCGTAGACCAGTGTTCGGATGTCAGCCACTGCCCCTCCCCTCCAGTCGACCTAGTTCTTCTATACTGCCGTTAGAGCACGGTGGATGCGAAAAAAGGATGGGGCAGATGCAACGCAGATCGGCTTCGTTATAGAGGGTTGAACTCGTCGCTAGTGAAGGCCTAACTGGAATCATAGTATTATTAGTCTGAGTTTTCGAATTTTTGCGGGAGTCCATCGTCAAAGATAAAACCGTCAACCGTTAACGGTTAATTGGCCCCTTCCCCTGTAAAAGTTGCTTACTTTCGTTGACGGTTTTTCCTCTGATGATGGACTCCCGCAAGAGTTCGAAAGATCAGACTAATAAAAATATGATTCCGGTGATCGAAACAGCTTCTTCTTCTCAATCTATATACATACCTGGGATGCGAACCTTGGCCTAACGATCAGATCCAGCCGAGCGTCTGCGCTAATAGAGTTGCGACTATTGGGTGATGAATGCGAAGGCCATTAATTATGGTGGGTATGTGGTGACATGGAAAACGCATCCTGTAATTAGTACAACCTGTCGCTGTTTCTAATCATAGGCTAAAGCGTTCAGCTGAGAAAATTAAGGCGAGCAAAGTTCTGGTCTCAGCGAACGCGCGTCTTCTTTTCCTCCATGAGCAGGCTAGTAGCAGATTCTTAAAAAGAGCATTTTATCAGAAAAATAACAACAAATCAATGAATATTTAGTAGTTAGAAAACACCACACAGCTTCCCAGCGACTCACCTGAATGAGGACAAGATCGTTGTCCGGCAGTTTGTCGTCATGACGTATTTCACAGGTGATGGCGGTGTTCTTGTCAATGGCTGCCAACTCCACGTCCGTGGTGTTTGGCTGGTTGAAGTTGCCGAGGAACTCGAAGGGTCGAGTGCCAGTACTGGTGCGGATACGCATCACGGCATCAAAAGCCTTGGGCTGTGAGACTGCCGTACGCAGGTCGCAGATGAACTGGTCTCCCTGAAGGTCAGCCTGAGAAGATAAGGAGAAAAGAGGGCCGGTGAATGAACGACAGCAATTGTCTTACGACCCGCCAATCAATTTGGGGTGGTTGACATGGAGGCCGAGGGCTGTGTGCACTGTGATGCGAAGTGCCGCCCCGTAACCACCTTTGATGTGTCAAAATCTTGGTCAAGTGTAAGTTGTGACCAGGTGGGGTT